CAGGGCGCCACGTCATGCCAGTCCCAAACGCCTTCAGAAGGGTTGTGGAAGCGATGGTGTCAACTTCAACCAGGTGCCGAGCCATCACTTGTAGCCTAGGCTGGGTTTCAAGCTGCAAACCAGGCGTCTTAGCATGGAGGCTTGTCAAATCGTCTAAATCCAGGCATGGCATGTTTACCAGTAGGATACAATAAGACAATAAGACAAATGATTGAAAAGAGTAAATGCGGCCTCAAGACCCTTCTCGAACCGACTCTGTACTTGCAGCATCTTGCAGCCACAAAAATAACGACCGGCACCGCCCGTTCCACCTAGAGTAGTTTAATATACCTTTCCGTGCTAAAACAAGGAGAACTCAGGTTCTGGCTGGAGTGACCCTCGTGAAAATACTTTCGATTCAGGCAACTCACTGCGCTTCGCAACAGCTATCATACAATTATCATGTCTGTCCTTCTCGCAGCACATGGTATCAAATACCTCTTCCCGTCACTTGGGTCAGTGCTTCAAGTTTCTGCGCAACCCACACGGGTTCCAGGATGAAACACTACATTGCTAGTGGAAGGTGCCAAACACCATAGTTCAAAGGAACTCATGATTCAGGCAATGCAGTGGACGCCAACAAATAACCAAGGCACAACGACACAGCTGCAGGCCAATGACCTGGCTGATGGAATTTAAACAAGCTGCAATGCCTGAGCAACTATCAAAATGCATCAAGTTCCACCAAGTTTGCACCGAGGTGTGCTTTCCGTGCAGCCGAACTACCCTTGCAAGCCGTGAAGGCCGCATTGAACGCAATCACGTCCAGTCCTCAATAGGCAGGGCAGGCCGCCCGGAGCCTAGTTCAAAAGAGCTGTGTTTCGCCTCTCCTCGGGGAGGTGTGTGCGTGTGTACCCCTTGGAGTCATAGGGACCTTTTTGGATTGGAGAACTTGCCTTTTGCTTTTTGCGTTTGTTCCTTCAATGTTCACAGCAGGGGGGCAACCTCGTGAGCATAGCTGGCTGCCCAACGAAGAGGGCTATGCCACGACTGATATGGAGTCTGACCAACTCCACGTACCTGCTCTTTTGAACTGTTGACCAAGCTGCGACTTTCATTTTCTTTCAAGGGCTAGTCCATTCTGCAGACACGCGCGGCCGCCGTCATCTCGCCCTGTCCTCGCTTCGATATCTCACGGTTGGACCTTTGGCCTCCTAACGATTAGAGATGCTCAGGCCCCCTCTTGTCCTTTCAGGATTTGGTTTCCTTAGGTTGCCGCGTGGCGAGCGGCATTCACATCCGTACGCATTTCTATATATATATATATATATGTGTGTGTGTGTGTGTGACACACTCTGTTTCCAAGAGTGTTTCAACACGCAGAGGGAACAGGCCCAGCGTGGATACCTGTCGATGGGGGATGCGGAGGTTGATCACCTCCGTGTACCTGCTGAGTTTTCCACAAGCTGTGACCCTAATTTTTTCATTTTTGCTTCCATGGTGGTTCCATGATACTCCCCACAAACCCTTTTCTCACCGCTGATGTGCAGCCGCGCTGATCGTTCTGCAGTCACGCAAAACAACTTGTTCAACCTTTCAAGTGAACTGACTCTCTCGCCATGCTGTTCCCTCACCATTTTCAACCTGGGAATTGAGTTAACTGAAAACCCAATATCAATCTGTGTGCCGCTGTGCCGTCCCACGTGGGTGCACAGTGTGATCCCCGTCACTGGGGCGCTGCTTTCATGCCGGACTACCACTAACTGACTTTACCGCTTTCTGCACTCGTTGGATTATCTTAACGGATTTTCGTTTCACTACTGTATTCTCAAAACCAAAGCCGCCGGGCTTCACGGAAATTCACAGCCGCCGGGCTTGTCTAATTAGGGTAACCGAGGGAAATGGTACTCGACACACTTGTGTGTCGGTGCCTTTCCCTCTGTTGTCCCTTTCTGGTCTACTCTACCCGGGCGGTGTAAGACTAAAGTCCCGCTCCCTAACTATTGCACCTAATTCACTTCTCCTAAGTAGTCAGTAGCTCTAGAGTGCTAGGTAGTCATACACACACACGGACACACACGTTACATACATCCCCTCCCTGCCCCCCACTTTCTTTCTTGCACTTTTCGTCGTTTGTTCTTTTGGGCTTTCTCTCGGGCTTTTTAGGTAATTCTTGAGGCTCTTTTCCCTACCCCAGTCAAGGGCTAAGTATTCACCTTTCGCTACTCCTATCTTTCTCTCCTGCCCTTTTAGCGCTGCTCTTTCTGTGCTTCTTTCTTTCTTTTCTTAGGCTTTTTAGGTACCTATTTAGGCTTTTACGCCGGAGCGCCGCAAAGCGGCTGAGTGTGTGTGTCACACTCTCTTTCCAAGAGTTTTTCAACACGCAGGGGGCACAGGCCCATCGTGGATACCTGTGCCAACGAAGCTGTTCCACGATGGGGGATGCGGAGATTGATCACCTCCGTGTACCTGCTGAGTTTTCCACAAGCTGTGACCCTAATGTTTCCTCCTCTGCCCCCATGGTGGTTCCATGATACTCCCCACAAACCCTTTTCCCACCGCTGATGTGCAGCCACGCTGATCGTTCTGCAGTCACGCAAAACAACTTGTTCAACCTTTCAAGTGAACTGACTCTCTCGCCATGCTGTTCCCTCACCATTTTCGACCTGGGAATTGAGTTAACTGAAAACCCAATATCAAAGTGTGTATGTGTGGGGGGGGTACCCTAACGGTGACTCTGCAGCTGAACACTGCTTGATGGAATGATGAGCTTCCTGAAAGGCTCCCCCATGGAGCAAAGCTATTCAAATTACAGTAATTTTATTGCCGCTGAATGCAGTCCTTCAGGTGCTGCCAAGATTGTGGCCTGCAGAGACGCATGGAGTATGGCTTTGAATGATTGCACGTGCAACTGGTGGGCGCAAAAACTGAGGAGGCGACCACTGATTGCTCCCATGCATATTGCTTGGCCAAAGTTGAAGCATGAGCCTAAGTGTTTGAAGTTCACATCGGCAAAGAGCTTGGTTTTGTCTCACGGTTTGGTGCGCGGGTAGGCCGTGAAGATTGAGCAAGGAAGCTACTACATGCTAGGAAGCACTCTCTGCTCAGGCTGCTTCAAGGAAGCCCTTGCATGATTGATTCGGTTCCTAAACCTTTAGGGAAACTTATGTAAGACTGGCCATCCAGCACTGGCGATCCAGCCAAGATGCTGTTCTCTTTCTGAGCTGGGCATCTCCCTGTTTCCATCGAGCCATGCCTCAACCCACTGGCTCTCGTCAAATAGCGTCCACATTTGCCTCCAAAATTTGGAGACCATGCTTAAAAAGCACTCCTTGGAATTAGCACCACCATGACGGCCGCTCTGCCACTTGACCTAACGGTGCCACAGCATCGAAAGGTGGCTCCCCAGCTGTGAGCGGCAAAAAATCATAGGGACAGATCCGACACAAAGCGGCAAATTGAAATTATCTTAGCAGGCTTGACACACCACACATGACTTTGTCCATCATTTGACTCTAGCCCGCTGTGCCCACCCCTCCGTCTCAAGCATGTCTGCAGCAAAGGTCTCACTCGGACTTTGCCCAAGCACTCTACCTTTACGGCGAGAGTAACGGGCAACAAAGCCATTTACTCCCATGCCCTGCATCCACTCAGCAAGACAATGGATATCTGCAAGTTGCGCACTTTGGCGTACATTGCGAAAAATGCCCTGCTTGTACAGGAGCATTGTTTCTGTGTACAGGCGATTAGGATTCACAAGCAGTGCTGAAAATAGACTAGCCCACGCAAAGCTGTCAATGAAGTCATCCCCATATGACTGCGCTCCTGTCAACAAGGCCAGAGCATGTTGCCATCTCTTTGCCGTAGCTACTGCTTTCATTGCTGTTGCATAGCAAGAAGCCATGCTGGCGTTTCGTGCCCTACTTGGTGGCACTATATGCATAAGAAGGTTCAAAGCTTGCTCCCACTGTGAGCAACCTTCGCAGGCAACTATTGCAGCGCCAAAGCCAACAGTATCTGGGATTGCTTGCTTGCGAGAGGCCTGCACCAGAAGTTCAAGGGCGGCTTTCCAATGCCTTCCCTTCTCATATGCACTGATCGCGGAGGTCATTCCCAAAATGTCAAGACGCATGTGAGACGCATGTGCCTTGGAGAAGGCAGACAGTGCTTGCTGCCAACAACTTGCTCTCGAAAGAGCTGCCATTAAGGTGCTCATGCCAACAATGTCTGGAAGCACACTTCGCTCAAGCATTGCAAGAAGTAGTTTGCTCGCTCTCAGCCACTGAAGTCCTCTCCCACATGCATCAATAGCAGCGTTGAAGCAAACCTGGTCAGGTGTCAGATCAGCCAGTGTGTCACATTCACATAGCAGGAGCAAGGCTCGCTGCCACTGCGAAAGTTTCCCGAACATTGAAATCAAAGTACCGTAGGAGATGACATCTCGTGGAGGAAGTGTGGCAGGATTTCCATGGCTGCATCCCATGCTCTGGCAGCGTTTCATATCGCTGAATAAGTGTAGGGACCAGTCCCACCGGCGACTCTTGCCACAAATTGAAATGGTTGCATTTGCAATCTTTTGCAGGATGTCCTTATCATGAACCGCCAAGCTCTGCGATAAGTGCAGCAGTTTGTGTTGCCACTTGACCATACTGCCTTGATAAGCAAGACAATGGCGCGGGTCACAAGACCAGCATTGTTTGTGCTTGTCCAGTTTTCTACCATTGCTCGCAGTGAAGTTGCGTGCTACAAGCACATCATGTACAACAAGCTCGGGCCACGGGGGGCTGCAGGGCTGCACATGCCACCAGGTGCACCATCAAAAAATGTTTCACCAGCACCCTCTGTCTATCTGAATCTGCCCCTCTCTCTCTCTATCTCTCTACCTCTCTCTCTCTCTCTCTGTTGGAAACTGGTTCTTTAACATATCCTCAGCTCGACGAACAAGCCGGCAAAACAAAAAGCAAACTTGTGCAACGTTGGGACCATAGCATGCCATACACGCCGCGGACCGTACAAGCCTTTTCTCTCGCATGGTCTTAGTGTTTGTCTGGTGCTGTGTCGCGTGCACTAGTTTCACCAACTTAACTGCCTCTACCGCCTGCAAATCCACTTGTTCGGGTCCATTTTGACCCATCTGGGAAAAGTATGCCATCTCCATCCCATTTCGCCACCACCTTGCTTGGACCTGGCAGTCCAGACTTGGACAAATCTATAGTGAGCTCGTTGGACTCCTTGCCGTCGGAGTACAGCTTTGCTTCCCAAAACTGCAGAGTGTCACCTCTAGAGCAACCCCCCTTCTTCGATTCAGTTTTTTCTCGTGCCAGCTCAAATGCAGTAAGGCCTGGCAGGTGGCACAGTTGAACCACCCAAAACTCAAAAGAAACTAGTGTCCAAACGAAACGAATGCGCAAATGCAAAGCCTTCAAATTCCACAGTGTACATTGCCGCCTGGATTTACTCCAGTGGACTCAGCTCCCATGAGCCGTCCCTTTGTCCCGTCAAAGTTCATAACGATTTCACGGCGGCATCCAGGCGAGTCAGGGTCAGCCCATTTGCCAGCCCATTTGGAGGGCGCACTTTTGGCTGCATGAGCTTGTGCTGGAAATAAGCCAGCCGAAGCCAGGACAAGAAGGGCTCTCCTCTGGGTCTGTTGACCTGCCACTCAGTTGAGGCATCAGACTAACCAGTATAGCATTGCCATGCAGTGATTTTCACATTTATATAGATGACAGTAGCTTCAGCCTGGATTAGCTGAGATGAAGGCATCCATGTCCATGCTATTCAGGGTGGAAAGTACCAGGACGAAGCCAGCCAGTAAAAGCCGAACCCTTCGCATCCGAGACATTGCCAGTACTATTCCTCACCTCAGGTTGACGCGGCCAATGCTTTGGGCTTGGGCCTGCATTTGGCAGCCACCGCTTCTTGAACAAAGTCTGACACGAACCCAATATATAGTAGATTAGAAATATGTGTATATATATATATACACATGTATATGTATATGTATAAGTATCTACAGTGTTTACACTGAAACTGAAACTGTTCGATGGAGTGCTGACAGACAAGCAAACGCAAACAGGATCAAAAACTAAACTTTGCGATTCTCAGGTGCAAACAAGTCTCCTGGTGGGAGCAGTTGGACCACCCAAAGCTTGCTTGAGCCGCGCTACCCCCAACAATCTATCCACTTTCTGAGGTGACTTTATGCAAAGGTGGAGCAAACACAATATATACGTCCAATGGCATTTCAAACACATGCAAGGGTCTCACCTTTTGCAATGCGATTGCTCCGAATGCAGGAGCTGGGCTGCTCTAGGGCGCTTGGCTCCAACAGCAGCTACTCCAAGCGCATGGCACAATGTAATTAAAACGCTGCTTGGCAAACTGACGCGGCGAGTACTATATAGCAGCGTCAAATCTGCAGCTTGATCAACAAAACCGCCAAAGGCCAAAGTGATGAGTCAAAACCAAGCAAGGATGATCAATAGGCAAATACAAAACCTCGCTCACTGAAAAGCTCGAAGTTCTTTCAGGTATGTCAGCGGGGTTCGGGACACTGAAGCCAGCAAACGCACAAGCAAAGCTTCATTGCTTACTTGACCGCAAGTCAATACAAAGCTGGTGAAATATGGCGCTCCAACTCCCCGCCGCTCAGCGCCCATTAAATTCCTTACTCCAACGCCTTGCTCTGGAATATCACTCAGCCGACTCAACAGTTGCAAAGCCTCCTCCCATCGGTGGAGCATGGCCAAGGAGCTGCAAAGAGAGCTGAGTCTGAGACTCCAGCGACTCCAGCAGTTGCGATTGTTCAGTGATTGTTGTGATGTCATTGGTCGACTATCCGGTCTTTGTGCCATTGAAGCTTGCGTGAACCACTCATGGTTCATGTGCAAAATTGTGCGCCAACCTTTCCCAATGGCAACACTGACATCAGTGTGAAATGCATTGGTGCCCTCCACTCCAGCTGATTGCATGTGAGATATCAAATCCAAAAGCACGCCCCAGTTGTCGCACATACCAGATGCAGCGACCACGGCTGTGTATACCACATCATTCAAAGAAGGCTCTACCACCTTCTTGGCTGAAATAGTGAGAAGCTGCAGCGGCACTGTCCAAGTCATACCTTTTCCACAAGCCGTCTGCGCTGCAGAAAGCATGAATTCGTTTGCTGTAATGCCTCCATTACCAGCTACATTCAATAAAGCCAGCGCTAAGTCCCACTCGGCCAATATGCAGGAGAGTGCTGCTCCATAGCTGTAGTGATCTCTGCGAAGGTTAAGGGTCTCCATGAATTCGAGCAAAGAGACACAGTGCCCCCAAGGTGCACTTGAGGCAATGGCCGCATTGAGGCACACCGCATCCAGTTTGCTTTTATCCAGCAGGTGACCCAGTACGTGAACTGATTGGGCCCAAGCCGCTCTGCACAATGAAGTTCCAAGGTTTGGGCTAATGTAAGGCCGAATGCGCTGGCGGAATGCGTTGAGCCCACGTCGCCATTGGTCTCCAAGTGACGAAATCACGCTCGTACAAAATGCAGTGTCCTGTTTAATTGTGGAGCACGACGACCACTCAAGCAATACCAGTACTTCCTTCCAGGTGTCGCAAGACTCAATAAGAGCGCTGACAGCTTCTTTGCCTGGAGTCAAGCGATTTGTGTCGAAACACTCCAGCAGTCGTAGAGATAGCTTCCACTCCATTGCAGCTTTTGCCGATGTCAGAACAGCAGTGCTGCTTACAGCATCTAATTCAAGTTCCTGCAAGAACATTTCAAACATTAGCTGCTGACACTGCCGCCATGAGCTTCGGCAGGATGACATCAGGGTATTGAAGCTTGCGGTGTCCATCTTTTCATGGGCGTCATCATGATTGATGCACCTGCCTCCTTGCAAAGCTTGCATCCACCTTCCCTGATACACATTTAATCCAATATTTTGGCTGGTTGTGTCCAACTTGATCTTTGACAAACGCATCTCCGCCTGCGTTGCAGTTGCTAAACGCCATTCTTTGGAGCCACTTGAGCATGTCCCGCAAGTGCTCATGAAACTGCTGTGGCAAAATGTGTTTGTGCGCAAGCTCAATACCAGCATATACCGCAGCAGGCTCTGTGACCTCCGCCAGAGCCGAGACTTGCCGGAAGAGCTCAGTAGAGTACAAATTGTTCTTTCGTCAACTTGTAGCTTTCGCTGCAGCGCCTCTGTGAACGTGCCAAGTGCTGATGCCCAGAAAAAGCGCCTCGCTTTGACAAGAGTATTCACGCTCACAACGTCCAAAGAGCCCTGTCCAAACAGCCGCCTCCGCTTGAATAACTGCACGGCTAAAGGCCACTTGCCAAAGCTGGCCGCGCATGAGGCTAGGTGTAGGTTGAAGTTATAAGTGTTGACGCTGCAATCGAGATCATAGATCATGCACACTCAGAACCACAGTGCGACTTGAAACCTGGTTTGACGTATTCATGGCCCGCGTTGAAGCTGCACGGCAACCGTGCGCATGATCAAGTGACACAGGCCAGCACTTGAGCAACAATTTGCCGAGCATAAACACATAAGCACATCACCCGTGTGGCAATGGCAATGAACAGTTCGCATACAAATGGATATGCACTCACGGAATTGCCGGTCAGAATGTGAACGATATTCGGAGGCTTAACATGGCTTAATTATTAAAATAGTTTGAAGACTTTGACAGTGAGCAAAACTTGCGTGGTCTAAGGATCTTTTTCACAAGCTGCAAAGCAAGCTGAGCGACTCACTATTGAAACAGGAACTATCGAAGTTAGGTGAAGAACTAAGCAAAAAGTCTTCTGCAATCTGCTTACCACGGAATCCTTTCGCTTGCTTCAGCCTGCAGCCCCGCAATTGCAGTCAGTTTGGAGTGTCTCGCTATCGAGATTCTTCAGCTTGCATTGAGAGCAGGGATCTGTTCATTGTCTGTGTTGTGAAGTGTTACTGTTTCAGTACATTAACCTTTGATGCCCAAAGTAGACTAGAAAAACAGAGCTCTATGGCCCTACGACATGCTTTCCTGCCTCAAGAAGAATAAGGCGACACACCAACCTTCGGCGCGCAGGATATTCAACTCTCAATGCCTGATCGAATGACATGCTGGCTGCCCTACTTACTGCAGTATTCCGTCACCTTCGGGTAGTCATTGGGTCGGCCACCACCAAAAGCCACCGATGCGGCTTTCACCATCTGCTGAACAAAGTCAGAGTCCTGTTTAGACATCAAAAACGACAGTTGGACATCCAGCAAGCTTGGCACAAAAAGCCAAAAAGCGGAGAAGCAGGACAAACAGTCCTTGATTCCTTGAAGTGCCTGAAGTTGTGCTCTCAAGCTGCCACTGCGACTCAGGAAATTGTTCAGCCAAGCGAGGGTGCCTGGTGGAGGGTTCTCACATGTATGCCTCAGAAATGTGAAGAAAGCGCTAACCTTTCACGTGTGCTGGTACAACTTAAATTTGCCTAAAATCTAGGAACCAAATGAATAGTGCGAGCGCTTCCTTGAAGAAGCGTGAGCTATCCTGCGTCCATACTCGTAGCTTAAGTAAGGTACTAGCTACCTAGCTTCTACTAGCTACCTCTAGCCACTACCTCCCTCTAGCGGCCTACCCCCCTTTTTAGAAAACAAAAAAATGTCTCAAGGAAGGCGTTGACAATTCCAAACGTGTTCAACGGAATAGGCTCCCGGTTTCGACCGCTTCCTCCCCATTTTATGCCGCCCTCTCCTGCCTGCATTCTCGGGCGAATAGGCCTGAATGAATTGGCCACTCAAACTGCTATACAGCATCGCAAATTCTATGTCTATGTGTATTGCTAGTGCTTGTGGGAAGCAAGTATGAATGAATCTGGATTCTCAGAATGATGTCGCCTGACAACACACACCAGTGCGTGCTGTTTGACACTTTAAACACCTATATATTAGTAATTAGACCACACTGGATTTGTTACTGTAAGACATGTTGAGACCAGGTGACTGTTTTCTGGACTGTCTCAATCTCCTTAACTGTGGTCACGATCTTCTTCTCATCGTCTGCAAGTTTCTGGTCCAACTTCAACAGCCTCGAATGGGGGAGCATTGAAGGAGCACAGCAACCGCACGCATAAAGCTCAAATGATTGGTGCAGAGGGGCGCATCCACGGAACATCCTTCTTCGAGGCAATCAAAAATGGCCGTCATGCACCCTTCATCGCACTCCAAAACTGGTGCGGGAGGAGGCGGTGCCTCACCACGGATTTTGCATCGTGTGTGGCATCATTTACATGTGCATCATGTTGCAATAAGATTTTCCGGACTCCACGGCAAGTCTCTGATTGGTTTGTGGCAACTCGACACTGATGGCCTCCGTTTCGGAGATCTCGGCTCCCACGTTCAGTTTGCCAGATTGATAAGCTGCTTGGCGTGCAATCCTCCCAAATTTTTCTACTAGTAGCAAGGACGCTGCTAGGGGCTCCTGGCATCGCTACTAGTAACAAGAAGCCACTAGGGGCTCCTGGCCGTACTACTAGGAGCAAGGATGCTACTAGGGGCGACATCCTAACTGCAGCAACATCCCTTCCTCGAAGGGCTGCTGAAGGCCACAGAAACCATGTGCCAACCGCCTTGCAAAAAGGGAATGCAACACACACTCGTATGATGGTGCACAAGTGCATAATCTTGTAAGGACTGGAAAGTAGCATCAAAGCAACATCACCACAAAGACTATCATGTGCATATTCCGGCACCATACACGTGGTCAAAGAAGTAAGCTTGTTGGAGCCTTTTACACAAAGCCATGTACAAACTGCCCTCCTATGGTCACAGGATTTAGCCCCAAGTGCGGTGCAGAAAAAGCAGCGATAATCAAACATGTGAAGCGGTGCTAAACATGGACACCAAATGCACACTGCTCTGCAGAGTTATGGTATGGACCCCAATCTGCCTACCAAGGACGCAAGTTCGCTCAAGCTTCGCCCCTCCCGCAAACAACAAGACATTGAGTGCAGCCTAGGGCAAGGCAAAGAACGCATGTTGCTCGCAGGCCCATTGAAGAGGTCATGACACCTCGATATGGCAATTGTGCCTGGTGTCAACACCCTTTGCAGTAAATGTGCATTGAGTCTGCGGCTCCAAATCACTGTCCTGCCCAGAACTATGGCGTCGAGGCTTTGATCCAGGCTGCAGGTCCAGCACAGTTTCTCAGAGTGACTCATGCAAAATATTAAGCATGCTAGTGTGTCAAAACTGTGGGAATCACGTCGCAGCCGTGCTGATTTGCCACCGGGGTGGAACAGTGTAATTATGTTGTGTATGTGTAGAGAGAGAGAGAGAGGGGGAGAGAGAGAGAGAGAGATTGGCACATGCCAGCGGTGAATCCTACTTTCTGGGCATCAGATTTCATGGCGCGCGATCGCGGGGGGCCACGCATTGGTAAGTGAGCAATTGGGTTCAATTTGCTGCCAGCACAGTGCTGCGCAATCCTTTGGGTAAAATAGATTCTGAGCAGCTGTTGGCGCTTGCAGTTCACGTGGACATGAGATGCACCACTGCATGCTACTATGGCCCACTGTGCATTTTTCGGCACCGGATCCGCCACATCTAGTATCTAGTTGCTGCGGAAGCTTGCAAGGTATGGGTTTGCTGGCTTCAAATGCATATGGCATAGCCGCTGAACTCAACGGTGCAGTGCAGTGAAAATTGAGTGGTTTCAGAACACATGCCGCTTGATTCGCCCAAATAGCAAGACCCAGGTCACACCGCAAAAGGTGCATGACGACTACCCCTTGCTACCTGCAGGGAACCTGCTCGCAGCACGGGAGATGCCAAGCAAAGCAGTGATGAATCCAGCAAAGCAGCAATCAGCACGAGAGATGACAGGTTGTGAAAAAGCAGGAGCGGTGATTTCAAGCAGATAGGCTGTCGCACACGGCGCAGTGGGATCGCAACAATAAAATCAGCACAGTCATAAGAAGGCGGAGATTTACACTCTATACTATAGTTTTTGTAGGAGGTTCGAGAGAAGGGCACAACACCTCCACTAGCCGCGATGCCCTGGAGACCTAGTAACTCAACCTACAGGTTGCTTTGCTTGCATCTCATTGCAGCACTCCCCAGTCATCTTTAGAATGACATCGCTTGCATCACATGAATGTTGCCGGGAAAATTGCAAGGCAAGATCCTGGAAGATTCTGGAGATCCTTTTATGTTTTGTACAAAAATCCTTCATCTAGAGCACGGGACCAACAAATCAATCAAAACTTAGACGTTTGATTTTTGCCCACGCAGGTGGATTCTTGTGGGAGGTCAATCCAAGCCACCCAAATCAATCCAGAGAATGAAATAATTACAGTAAAACTTTTGTCGCCTGTCCCTCCTTCCCTTCCTTCCCTTTCCTCTATTCTTGGGGAGGGTGCGTGCCCCTTTTAACACTGCGACACCAATGTCCAAACAGGACGCCATCCCAGCTCTGATTGAGAGAGTATCCCAGCTGGAGACGCTTCACTCACTCAGGCACATCACGCCGTCATCACGCCTCGTGCCATGCAGCAAATCAAGAATCAAACACCTCTCATGGTTAGCACTCGCCAAGGGAAGTGCTGAGCCACCAATATCTGGAACTGCTTCACCATCATTTGATTCAGCTTCAGCTTCTTCCTTGAAAAGTTGGAGCTTGGATGAGCTTGGTCAGTTCCCTTACGCAACTGTTTGCGCTATCTTCTAGGCGTCTGTGTGGAAAGCCTGAACATGTACAAATTTGGAGCAATGGCCGCCTTCTCCTCTGACTTGGATGGTGACAGTTCAACACCTTTGCGCCCCAACTCTCTCCTGCATCGCGATCAACACCACTTCCACGGAAGACAGCTTTGCGATTCAATTTGCACAAGATAAAGAACGAGTCAAAGTCAAATGTGATGGAAGCTGTCCACACCATGTCTTGGAGCAAGGGTCCTGACAATGAACTTCCTGACTTCATCTGCCAAGATAATGACGAACCTTCGAAAGTCAGGTCGGGCCAGCAAAACTCAATTATATATATATGTATATATAATTGTTATTTGCCAGTAGCCGCTCAAATGTGACATCCTGTCGGTTCCTATTTATTGGATCAACGCTCTTGTCACCAAGTTATTGGATCCGGAGAGCAATGCACATGACCCAGAGACCAACTGCAGCTTGCTCAAAGATCGTGTCCCAAAGACATACCTTAAAAGATTGCGACCAGGCAAAGAACTAACACAGAGCAACCCACAACTCAATTCGTTTCATATCTTGCCTGAAAACGCATAGGCCTAGGCTGGCTAGGCACTGAAAGTATGGGTGGTAAATTATTGCAAGAGCACAGCCAAACTCAAGGACCTTGGTTAGTCAGCACGAAGCAGGATGCAAGAAGCCACGGCTACAATCAAAACAATGCCGGTTGTTTCGCACGGCTAAGATCCGCACAATGAATAGGTTCAGCCAATTGTTGGGAATGGCATATGTTGCCTGCAAGGCGACAGCCTAAAGCTCCTGCCAACGTAAAGTGCCCAACGCAGCTCTGGCACAAGCGACATCGAGGTGGTAGTGGCTGCCTGAGCATGGAAAGCTCAAAGCACATCCCGCGTGGCACTCTATCTGCGAAGGTGGGCCAAGCTACAAAGGCTGCTCCGACTTGTCCACATACAAGCGCCTCAATGAAACATTCACGGAATGCAACATATGAATACTCAAAGAATGGTTGGCATGCACCAAGTGCAGGCAGGCCACCCAGTAGTACATGGTTGTGCCGGCTTGAATGGCAACCTTCTCGCTCAAACTGTAAATCACGGGCACCTCCTTCTTGTCAAGCAACGCCCACATCCCCGGCATGCAAAAGAAGCATAGCCAGCAGCAAAATGATTGTATTACCCCAATATACGCGAAGGAATACAGCAACATCCCACTATTCACAATAGCATCCTTTCTTGGGTGGCGTGGCATTTTCTTCATCAGTGAAGTTTCCGGTGGTTGCGCTGCATAGGCTACAGCTGTCCAAATGTCTGTACCAATATCTATCAGGATCACCTGCACAGTAGTTAAGGCAACTGGAATGCCAAGTAGCTGTGCAAATGTTGGAAGGGCTTGAGGCACTTTAGAGCACATCGTGTACAGAACAGACTTCCTAAGGTTCTCGGCGCAAAGGCGCCCTTGCTCCATGCCAGCGGCGACACTCTTCAAGTCGTCATCTAGAAGAACAATGTCAGCAGCCTCTTTCGCTACCTCAGTGCCCCGGATGCCCATCGCGATGCCAACTTCCGCCTCCTTGAGAGCAGGAGCATCATTGACACCGTCTCCGGTCATTGCAACAATTTGTCCGGCGAAGTGCTGGTACGCTTGGACAATTGATTGCTTGTCCAAAGGGGACACCCTTGCAAAAACACGGGTCTTCTTGACACATTTCTGCCAAAACTCTGCACACTCTGGTGCCAAGTCATGATTCTGAGCTATGTCCAGAAGCGTCCAACCATCAGGCGGCGTCCCTTCTCTGGCGATCATCGCACCTGTAACCGCAGCCAGGTCATCGTCAGAGCCGCGGCCAAGAATGCCAATCCGCCGAGCTATGGCTTTCGCTGTGCTTGGGTGGTCGCCCGTCACCATGATGGTTTGGCAACCAGCATCCTGCAAACTTGCAATGGATTCCTTGACACCATCCTTTGGAGGATCCTCGATGGCGAAGACGCCAAGAAATGTATACCCGCAGAGAGGGAAGTTTGCATCCTGTGGGCTAGATCCCTGGAACTCAAACCCAGGTGGAGCAGAAAAGTCACACTCAGCCACGCAAAGCACCCTCTTTCCGTGGCTCATGAACTCCTCGTAGCAGCCAGTAATCTCTTCCACCTGCTCACTTGACAGGCTACAGCAACTGACAACAAACTCTGGGGCACCTTTGACAAGGAGCCTCACTGGGCTCGAGTCAGGGCTGGACGCAGAGCTGCCTCCAGCTTGAGCATCATGCGCTGTTAGCATCCACTTGGTGGCACTGCTGAAGGGAATTTCGTAGATCTGGGGTGTTGCTCTTCGCACCTCTTCCAGAGGCCTTCCCACAATCAAGTTGCAGGCTGAAACAATGGCAACCTCAGTCGGCGAGCCAAGAAACTCCAGGCTCTGCACATGTTGCTTGGCATTTGAGTTGAGAAGTCCACCCTGCGCAAGCTTCTGCAAGGTCTCATCCGACTCTTCCTGAGCTGCTTGGATCGACAATTTCTTGAGGCTGGAGCTCCTTGGGTCCATGACAGCCAAATCTGTCATTGTCATCTTCCCTGAGGTCAAAGTTCCAGTCTTGTCGCTGCACAAGACACTCACACACCCCAACGTCTCGACAGCATCAATTTTTCGCACGAGAACCTTCCTTTTGGCCATCTGTCGTGAGGATATCATCAAGGAAAACGTCACTGTTGGCATCAAACCTTCGGGGACAAAACAGAAAAAGGCAGTTGAAGAGTTCAGGAGGACCTTCTCCATGCTCAGCTTTTGTGGTGACAGAAGGTTTGCAACAAGGGACAGCAGTCCCGTGCAAGTGGCGGTTACAGCAATCAAATGCACAAAGTGCTCAATCTGAACCTCCAGAGATGACCGTGGCCGTGCAAGTTGGACACCTTTTGCAATTTTTCCGAGTAGTGTTGAATCGCCAACAGCAAAGACCACTCCAAGAAGGCGACCCTCCACAACGCTCGTTCCTGAAAAAAGGACATTGTTGGACTCAACTAGTGCAACGACGGGCTGGTCATGTTCGTCCACACCAACCGGCTCAGATTTCCTGGGTTCAGCGATTGACTCACCTGTGAGCGCAGAATTGTCAACAAGAACAGTATCGGTCATTGCCAGGATACGTATGTCTGCTGGTACTCGCTGGCCAGCTTCCAGCAAGACCACGTCACCTGGCAAAAGCTCCTCAGGCGAAATGTTCTCAAGACTGCCCTGTCGGCAAACTGCCACACTCTCCAGGGACTGCATTTGTTGTAGGGAGTTCATCATCGATTCAGCCTGCTGCTCAGTCCACCACTGCAAAGCCCCTGCCATTGTTATTACGGTTGCTAGGATGGCAGGTGTCACCAAATCAGATTCATCTGCTCCCATGAAGGATGCCAATGCAACCTCAACAGTGACACAAAACCACAGCAAAGTGTTGAACACACCGCCAAAGACCTGCTTCATCAAGAGCCAAACAGCACTAGGCTTGATTGGCGGCGTCATCTTGTTCAATCCAAATCTTTTAAGATTTCTTTCCTTCGCATCAGGTGATAAGCCAAATTGGCCAGGCCAGTTGGTCAAGGCCACATTCTCTAGTGTGGAATTGAGTTCCTCGCTTAAAGCCTGGGAGTCCATGGTGTGGAACCATCCACGGCTTCGAGGCGACGCCTCATTCGGAAGAGACGAATCCGTTGTTGGTGGTGTCTGCTTCGTCTGCGCTTCCTTTTGGCTCCCACTCCGTGCACTCCAATGCTCCGCTGCAGAGACCAAAAGAACGCAAGCCACGATGATCAGGCAAATGGCACCTCCGATCAATTCACCAAAGGGATTTGTCGGTCCATCTTTGGCTTGCTTTAGTTTGTCTGTAACATCTTCTACTACTTCTTTCTTAGCGTCCGCAATTTGCTCTTCAGCATCTTTTTTCAATTCCTGAACCTCAGGAAGCACATCATCCTTCTCAGGCTCGGTCACCAATTGTGCAAAAGCATCTTTCCGTACGCGCCGCCCGTGGCGGTGCCCACTCATTGAAGCAGCACGCTGGTGCCTGCTTTCACTGCTTTCTGATCTTTCTGTGATCGACTCTGTTGACTGCTCTTCTCTAATTGCCGATGAGCGCTCACGATGCTCAGCCTGCCCTGCTTGCCTGCGCAAGAGGTATGACATGTGACGGAGTCGGGAAGCTGAAGCATCCCGGCGAAAGCTCTCGCTGCTTCTGGTCAGGCACAAAAAGCCAAAGAAGAGCAGCCGCATGAGCCACATGGAAATATGAAATGTCCCAAGTTGGGACGTGAATCCTGCTGAATAAAACTCACCTTGAACCAATGTCACGGCCAAAAGAATCAGCTTGGTTGAAAAGCCAAAACACTCGAACATGCGTGCGAACTGGCAGCAATAGCTTCAAATTTTCCTCCCTTCGGCTGACCAGTTTTGTCAGCTGCAGGCAGCAATCCGATTAGAGGTGGTGTGGGCTACTCCACTCCGCACGATGCGTTGTGCACCCGGTGGGCCAGCTGGCCTTTGGCCAGCCACAAGTAGTTTGATCTAGCTGCTGTCACCTTTCACCCGTTTTGGGCGGGAGGCTGCATAGTTCCAGGCTAGGCTTGGCCTTGAGTAGCCAGGGCAGACTCTGCAGCCAGAATCAAGCCCGATGTGTCCGCATGTTGAAGTGCCTCTTTTTCCTGGGTCGGTCGATGTCAAGGACATGAGATTGATACCAATGGCAAAACAAAATGGAACTGCAACTTGGATTTGACAGATTTGTCAATTTTAGCCTGTTCCACCGTCAAATTGATATCCAAATGTGTCTTTTGGATCCAAGGATCGACCACAAGGGGCGTATGCTCCGTTTGTTCCACACCCTTGGGGAAACCTGCAGCTCTGTCTGTCCAATTTGCCAAAACACGTGAAAGCCTATTGACATGCAAAACAAGTGGTTTGCGTTGGCGATCTGCCTGGGATATGGGCATGTATTCTAGAATTGGGATGTGATTTATCCATTGAAATCCTATACCGCCCACAGCCAGCAGTAGCATCCAGCACGAAAGTGCTGATTGCCATTGATCACTTGCGTTGTTGCAATTGGAACTGGTTGCATGTTGTTCGCATTTGTTCGCAATTTGTTTGCGACCTCTTCAGTGACACATCCTCGTCAACCACCAGCATGGGCACTTAGCAGGCCCGTGCAATGGACAAGCAAGAAGAAAAATGGAGGAATAGGTATAATGATTGAAGACTGAGAGGCTTTATTCCACTGATTGAAGCACACAATGCACACAAGTTATTCTTCCCCATCAGGAGTACCTCTACAAGCCGCATGCCCACACAAACTATGGTTTTTTGAGGAAGGACCTTCGTTCAATACCTTGAAGGAGCGAAGCAAGCTATCTTTGTTCGACAGGGGCCACTCTGAGTAATGAGTTTTTCGGTGTCCAGTACAGAAATGCACTTGCTCTTGAGCAAAACTTTGTCTACGAGTTGACGTCTTCTGTGTTCCCGATCCCTGATAGTCAAGTCAAAGCTCGGACCCCACAACGGTGGGCCAGAAGTCACTCACCCACTCAGAATTCACAAGCGCGAATACCCACAAGACTGAAATGCCTACACGTGCCTTGCAGCACGGATGGCCAAGCTGAAAGCTGAGGTGTGTGTGTGTGTGTGCGTGTACCCCTTGGAGTCACAGGGATCCTTTTGGATTAGGGATTTCTTTGCGTTTTTCTTGCTTCAGCACGGGGCCACCGCGGCCGCTGTGCGAGAGAGCGGAACCCGCCGGTCGGAGTGGGGAACCGGCAAATCATTTGCTTGAGTGAGCTTGACCGAACGAGTCAAAAGGAAAGTCACTGCCTGCGGTTTACAAAAAACAATTCTACATTGACCATGTGCAGCCTGGATTTAGGGAAGCACTGATGATCAACTGGATGTGTCTCCGCGTGCCTCCCCTTGGGGTTTGTGTGTGTGTACCCCTTGGAGTCACAGGGCTCCTTTTGGATTGGAGATTTTTTAAGTTCTTCTTGCTTCAGCAGGGGGCCGCGGCGGCCGCTGTGCGAGAGAGAGCGGAACCGGGACCTGCTGGATCCTCCGCCTCCTTCCCTTCCGCAGCCACGCCGCGCCCCTTGCGGTGTCCCTGGATGCAACACCCAGGCACACCCCTCTCTATCTCTCCATGATGTGTCCTTGGACGCTTGCTTCGTAGCTGGGAGCACCTCTCTCTCTTCTCTCTCTCTCTCTCTCTCTCTCTCTTCTCTCTTCTTATCTTGTCGGGTGTGTCCTTCGACGCTCGATCCGTAGCTGGGAACAACATCGTTTCGTTCCTTTTCTTGCTTGGTGTGCCCTTGGACGCTGGAGTCGTAGCATCGTCTCTGTCCTTCTCTTTCTCATCACCCTTCGTGCGCCGCCGCGGCTGCCGTGCGCGAGAGAGAGAGAGAGAGATGTAAAGTTTGAAGTATTGTTGAACTGTTTGCGGAAATGTTCGCGCCTTTTGTTTGTATGTTGAATGTGCTCAAGGGCCCTAGTGTTGAGCCACAATGTTGAGGTATATCTCCCTCAATGTTGGGAACAGTGTCATGTTCAATTTCACACCGTCCCTCAGATCAATGTCGTGTTCAGACAGCGATCTGGCAAAAACTGACACTGTTGAGTCATCTAGTGACTTACGCACCCGTTGACTCCAGTGTTGACCCTTTGTTGAAAGGCTCAGGGGTTGTTCACACCCTCTTCCGTGATCGAGCCCGTGTTGATGTCCGGGTTGATGTTAAGTGGGCTGTGCATGTTGGTGTCCTCTTGTCCTGACCTCCATGCGTTGGAATTGGGAACGTGGCCTCATAGACCTGACATGTTCCCGTCATCGGAGTGAGTTGAACCACAGCCATGTTACCGAGGTTGAAGGCGAAGTTGACGCTTCTGGCTGTTGAGCTCTGAACGAAAGGGCGGCAAAAACGTTGAATTCAAATCACCTTCCGAAATCACATGTTGAGACTGAAAAGGGGTGACGTGCATGAAAATCATGTTGGAGCGATCGATCGGCAAAACGGTGTTGAAACCAAAAGAGAGATCACGTAATCGATGGGCTTCGTCTCTGTTGAGAGAACGGCATCGAACCATGGCATCGAAATTCTAAATGCGCACTGTTTATGTGTGTCTGCGCACTGCTCACGCTGTACACGCACGCGCACGTGACTATCAATTGCATCTCTTGTTGAGACACATTTGCTTGAAACACATTGCTCGACCTCCATGTTGGAAGTCATGCTGCATGCATGTTTGCTGACTGCTTGATCTTCATGTTGAAGATTGCTGCTGTGAAGCTGCTAGCTTCTCAATTGTGTGAGTTGTTGTTTCGGTCAATGAGACCGATGGCTTGCAGATGCCTCCTGAGTGTTTCAGGAGTCACATGCTTGGTGAAGATGTCTGCTCTGTTGTCATTGCTCCTTATCTTCACGATTGAAATGATGTTGGCCTGAACGAGTTGTTGCGCGAAGAGATACTTGATCTGGATGTGTTTTGCTTTCTTTGAGCTGCCAATGCGTGTTGCAATGGACTTTCCTGCTGATGAGTCAGTGAGAATGCGGATGTTGATCTTGAGGTTGCTGTGTAGTTCCTTGAGGAAATAGCTGAGGTGTAGTGATTCAATTGTTCCTGTTCCGATCGCGTAGAGTTCACTCTCTGCGCTACTAAGTGCTACTGATTGTTGTGTTCTGCTTCCGAATTGTACACAGGCGCCAAAGATGTAGATGGCAAACCCGGATGTTGATTTCCTTGTGACTGGATCTCCTGCCCAGTCAGCATCGACATATGCATCAACATCGATCTCCTTAAGTTCATCACTTATTTGTGCTGTTGCTTAAACTGTGAACTTGTAGTGCTTTGTTCCTTGTAGATACCTCACGACATGTATCACGCGCTTCCAATCCTGTGTGGTTGGCTTGTTGAGTGCTCTTGCAAGTTCCTTTGTTGCATAGGCCAAGTCTGGCCTTGTGTAGACAAGCCATTGAAGCTTGCCTACTACTCGTCTGTACATTCCATGTTCTTCTCTGCTGAGGTCTTGCTCATGTTCATCTGTTGCTCGTAGTGCTGCCGTCCCTGGGGCCGCTGATGGATTGCATGTCTCCATTTTTGACTTCCGTGATGATGTTGTCAACATAGTGGTTGCCAAGTGAGAGCTCAAAGTGTGTTCCATAGTGTGTGATGTTGCGCCCCAGGAATGTCACTGTCTTTCCGGCTGTTAGCTCTCCAGTTCGTCGAAGAAGAAGATGTTGTTGAATCTGCTTGAAGATCTTATTGATGGTCTCGTGTGGGCCCAGGAAGAAAAGGTCGTCTACGTAAACCATCAAGAATGTTGTTGTTGAGCAGGTGTTGCCTGGTGTCTTGAAGACGTTTGGTTCTGTTCTGAGGCGCTCCAGCTTCAACACATGTTGAAGGATGTCTGCGAGATGATCCTGCCAGGCCTTTGGTGATGATCTGAGCCCATAAAGGGCCTTGTTCAATCTCCAGACTATGCGGTCTGCAGCATTGTAGAACTCTGTTGGTGGATACATGTGTAACGCGACTCCTGTTGTCACTGCTGCAGCTGCGTGTAGAAAGGCTGCGCTGATGTCACCTGTTGCGATGCTCCACCGGAATGTGAGTGCTAGTGCCAGAAGCCATCTGAGCACTGCAAACACAGGTGTTGAGGCATAGATGTCATCGGCGTCGTTGACGTGCTCTGTGAAGCCTTTGGCGACGACGCGACATCGAACGTCATCGCCTTTCTCCCTGTGAACCCATTTGCTCTGGATGATGGTCTGTTGTTCTTCGGGAGTGAGCTCGTCAATGTGTCGTTCTGTGAAGACCTGTTGTTGCTTCATGGAGTCGATCTCTTTCTTCATGCCAGTGATGAGCTTTTGCTTGTCGAATCCTTCTGTGTCATGGATGATTGGTTCTAGGAGGATGCGTTCTGTTGTCGCTTCCTCATCATCTTCATTTGCTGTTGCTGTAATTGTTTCTCCTTTCTTTGTTGTCACCTGAAGTGCTGAGATCCTCAGTCTTGTTGCTGGTTGTTCTGTGCTTCCTGTTGCTGAGCCGCTGATCTCGGGAGTTGATCGAACTTGCTTCGGCTCATGCTTCGTTGCTGAGGTTGTTGTTGGTGCTTCAAGGCTTCGCCTGATTGGTGAGCCGTCTCCTAGTGTTGGCATTGGTAGCGCTTGTCTCTTCTGTTGAGATGTTGGTGATGTTGCAAGGGGGACGTCCGTAATGACCCTTCTGCGCTTGTTCTCCTCTGATTCTTGTTGTTCGCTTGTGTGCTTGCTTGTGATCAGTGGTTGTGCGTCGACAGTCTGTGTCTCTGCCAT